GAGAGACACACTGGTGGTGGTGGAGTTTCTGGAGGTACTCCCCAGGGCTTAATTTGTAAACTGATTGATGCCGGAACAGTGGGCAGGCCAGGGTCGGGGGGGTGTGTCTGTGTGTCCTCTCACAGAAATTTTTGAATAACAAGAGATGCCATTTCCTACATTTTGGTGTATTTTAACGGGTTGTTATACATCAACATTTACCTACATTTGTAGACACTTAATAAAATTACTATTTTGGAGAGGAACAGCAGGTTCTGTGTGAATGATCAGCTCTGATTCTGTCAGGTGTCCTAAACCTCCCTCCTCCCTCCCTTCACTTCACGGTTCTGAGCTGAACTCTTCTCCGCTGAATATATTCAGCCTGAATTCAGTCCCGGTTGTTGCTCCTGCTCCAGTCTCGTGGCACCGTTTGAAGCACCTGAAGGCTTCAATTCTCAGTTGTTGGACAATACATCCATCCATCCATCCATTTTTTATTAAAATAAATTGGACCATCTTTTTGACATTTTGATCGCTGTTGTTATTTTGACAAATTAGAGCCATTGTTTTGAAACGTGACGTATAATGTGAATAACACATCAAACATTTCTCTCTTTGTATTTTTAATTTATTTTATCAGTAAGCTTTTTATATTTATTATGTCTGAAATGTAGCAGGAGTTCAGACACCTTCTGATGTGTGCACGCTGTGTATAGCTGTCTGGAGAAGTTTCTGTGCTTAACGTGCACTGTCCACAGGGCATTTATTTATTCTGTTGAATAAATAATCGTTTCGTTTTGGCGGTCTGAGAGGAGGGGAGAGGGGGTGTTTTTCAGTGCGCAGACCCGCTGAGTAGGAACAATATTTGGAGAGGAGGAGGAGAGTTGGACTCCGCTCAGAACCTTCGTGCATAAATGTGACCATCTGGAGCGTGTGGGCAGCTGGTTCGCCGCTCGTGCTGCAGCTGGAACATCCACTCCACAGACTGGGTCTGCCGGGCTAAAGGCAATGTCTCCGCTCATTCAATTTTTAATAAATAATCAAAATAAAAATGCACAATGACTTTGGACTTTTAAGGGCGGAGTTGCTGGATCCGAGTAAAGACTTGCCGGAATACAATGAGTCAAAATGAGAGAGTTCCCAGATCTTGTTCCAGCAGGATCCGGCTCAAATTAACTACTGGTCCTCCCCCAGAACATTTTGAATAAAGTAGATTTCATTTCCTGCATTCTGGCATATTTAATGGGTTGTTTAACATCTAGTTTTACCTACACAAGTAACACTTGATTCAATAAATATTTTAGAGTTAATGGCACAAGACCTGCCTGACCAACAGCTCTCCTTGTGTGAATAGAGCACGCTCCGCTTCTCTCACGCATCCTAGTCACAGTCTAAGAAACAGTGTAGCCTAAGTTAACTTTTAGGAAATTCATTCATTCAACTTTTATTTAAACAGATAAATCACATTGAGCCTTGAAGACTCATTTAAAGTTAGACCTGTTTGGACAGACAAACAATAATAATAAATAAAAATTCACTAGCCAATATGCAACGATAATAACAATAATCACTCCTTCTTACCAATGGCCTAGCATAAAGCAATATGATCATCATCCATCATGTTTATTAGTAGCTTAAAATACCTAATTAAAGCTCCAGTAGTGGGCTAGTTCTACTGTAACTTTACCCAGTTGTAGGGCCAAGAGACAAACACGTAGCATTAACACAGTATGAACAATATTCAGGAATTGTTTCTATAAGAACATTATCAAATATTTTATATGAATGGTAAGATCGCTCCACCCACGAGGAAATGTAACCCAGGGTGAGCTAGCCTCAGACAAAGAAGCAAAGATAGCTGTAATGTAATGTAATGTAATGAAGCTTACGGCATTACCTGAGGCATTTAGTGAGGCATTTATTTCTTATCGACCAACATTAAGGAAAAGAAGACAGAAAAAAAAATCTAAGCTGCTAATAACTTAAAATAGTTACTGGATGTTTTCATGCCGCAGAGTGACACAGGGCAAGAACTCACAGTGAAATTCAGTATGTAAGAATACATTTTACATTATTACACAACCTACTAAACAATTCTTTCAGCTTTTCCCTTTTCAGGCGTCATCACAGCAAGTCATCCTCCTCCATCTCACTGTGTCCCCTGCATCCTGTGTTCTCACTCCAACTACCTCCATGTCCTCTCTAACTGAACCCATATATCTCCTCTTTGTATTTTTCCTGGCAGCTGCATTTCTAACATCCTTCTACCAACATACCCACTGTCCCTCCTCTGGACATGTCCAAACCATCTCAGTCTGGCCTCTCTAAATTTATCCCCAGTTGTACAACCTGTGCTGTACCTCTGATGATCTCATTCCTAATTTTATTCATTCTTGTCACTCCAAAGGAGAACCTCATCATCTTCATTTCTGACACTTCCAGTTCTTTCTCCTGTCTTTTTGTCAATGCCACTGTCTCCAGACCACACAACATAGCTGGTCTCGCCACTGTTTGTAAACTTTTCCTTTGACCATCCAGATTTACACCGAGCCCTACTGTTTGCTAACACTTAGCATGACAAAAACAGCTACAAGTCGTGGGATTAGTTTACTTATCACCTTTGTTTGACGTCGTACGACCGTAAACCTCTGTGGTAAATTCACAATGCCAAATATTATTCCTCGGAAGGGCTGGGCAATATCTCAATATTTTTAAAGTATTGATATAATTTTATTTGCAATATAAATTGACATTATTTTGATATAAACAATATAGTTCTACTTGAAAATCCGCCGGCTCTGCTATCTTCTTTCTTCTCCCACACGGCCCCCCTCCTCTCACTCACTACAACCCCAGCCCATACCCGCGCACTCTCCCCCTGCTTCCTGCTTCTCTCCAGGTGGAGCAGCTACCTGTGGCACGTAGCAGCCACAATTAGCCACAAAATGGAGAGTGAGCAAGTCGCAGAACTGGTGAGCATGAAAAAAAATGGTTCTGTTATTTGGAGATGGTTTGAATTTAATTTGTCAGATGTGCAGCAGAAAAATGTTTTCTGTAGACAATGCCAAAAATAAGTCCCAAGGAAAGATTCAAGCACAACAAACCTTTTTCACCATTTAAAACGGCACTATAAGTGGAGCAGGAAGTGTGTTAAACTTCATGCTGCAGCTCCGGCTGTGACGTTTTCTTCACTGAGAAAAACTACAATACGAAACTCTTTTACCTGTGCTGTGCCTTGAGGTGATGTGAATAAAACAGCGGCTTATCATATCGCTAAAAACATGGTCCTTAGCAGCTAACAGCCGTCTTGTTAGCTGCTAAGGACCGTGTCTTTAGCGATATGATAAGCCACTGTTTATTAATGTGGCGCAACCTCCTCTCACTGTTAAGACTTGAAAATCTGTGGTTCTTTTTCTACCCATCTGCGCAGCCAGCAGCCCCTTGCCCCCTCCTCCTCCCTCACTGAATACAAGCAGCCCCTCACTGCCGCAGTTCACACACGCTTATTAACATAGTGAAGGCGATGCAGCTGGGGAGGATTATTGTTTAATATATGTTTAAAACAAGGTCTAAAAACAAAAACTTTAATATAAGTAAATAGTTTATGTTTTAGATATTTATTTTGTAGTTACAGCTGTTGTTAATAGATGTGCCTGTGTGACAACTAGGACAAAGCTTTGACTCAAACATATTTTTTTTAACATGTACAACTTTTTCATTCTTTCAACCTTTATTTATACAGGCTAGTCTCATTGAGCCATGAGGACGCATTTACAAGAGAGACCTGTTCCAGACAGAACATATAAAGTATAGACAACAATAACATGGTAAATGGTAAATGGACTGTACTTGCAGTATATAGCGCCTTTCTATCTAATCAAGACACTCAAAGCACTTTACACTACAATCTGTGCCTCATTTACCCATTCATACAGCACTCAACTAGATCTCTACAAAGCTAATTGAACAAATCATTCTAAAGAGACTAATCAGAGTATTAGATCACATTCATACATAGATGGGACACACATCGGAGGCGATGAGGGGTTCAGTGTCTTGCCCATGGACACTTCGGCATGTGACTGCTGGTAGATTCAAACCCCCAACTCTTGCATTGGAGGACGACTGCTCTAACCACTCAGCCACAACCGCCCCACAACAGTAAACAATAACAATAAACTACAGTAAAATTGCACTGACTGCAGCTGCAGTCTACTCTTTGTGAATCTCCCACATTTTGGAATTAATTTTGTTTCATCATCCTCTCCAGGGTGCGGTTACCCCTATTGCTTGGACACGTTTTCCACCACATCATTTCCTTCCTTTCACTTCTATATTAATGTGCTTGGACACAGAGCTCTGTGAACAGCCAGTCTTTTTAGCAATGACCTTTTGTTTTCACAATATTCAAATGTTCTGAATTTGGGGTTTTCATTAGTTGTCAGTTATAATCATCAACATTAAAAGAAAAAAACATTTGAAATGTATCAGTCTGTGAGTAATGAATATAATATAC